GCACTGTTGCATACTTTTTCATGCTGAGATGTAAAGAAACATCTAGTCACTGAAGATTAGGCACTGTCAACAGACCAAAAAACAACTCGACTAGACTCAAGTCTAGCATGGTGAACCAGGTGAGTTTATTGGAGCTACGTACAGGAACGTGAGTGACTCTTAGATAGCTATACCACCTGAGCCTTCCAAGTTTGCTGAGTTTTCTGAGCCTCCTGTCATTAGCCTCTTGAGTTTTATGAACCTCCTCCTCCCTTCCAAGTGGGAATGTTTCAACTTGTAGGTAATGACCAAACAAGTCTACACACCCTAAGTATTCTACAGTCTAGCACTGGGTGTTGTAGGTAATGGCTACACAAGTGTACACACCCTAACTATCCTACATTCTAGCACTGGGTCCTGTGCTCTTTTGAATGTCTGAATTCCATAACAAGGCAATAGTATACAGAATTGAGATTGAGAGGGACCGTAGAGGAAAGAAAAGGCTTTCTTTCCTTTCTTTTAAAACAATGAGTCCTCGGTTTTCATTTTTTACTTACTATTGCAGACAATGCAGTTAGGAATGAGCAAGGGGCCGGTTGTGGTGGTGCGCACTGGTAGGATTTGCTGAAGGAATGAGCAAGGAAACTATATAAGGTAAAGTGGCCCAGTGCCTTAGAAGTTATCTTTTCTGCCAAAATAATTAATTAAAATATCAACATCAGAAAGCAGGGTGGTGGAGGCTATCTTATGAGAGCTCAGCTGACCTTTCTTCTACTGAGATTAAGAATCTGAATGCTGAACATTTCACCACACCCTAGCTGAGAAAGTAAAAGGTACTCGTTAGGATGCTGGTAGATCTTTTAGCGTAGATAGACCCTGCATCTAGAATCTGGATCAATGGCTGTACAATCTGTTTTGGTTGATCTGAATGAACTTTTTCTAACATTAGAAGAGTCTCTTCAATATATGTGTGTTGTTATAGCAATCCACACCATTTCTTGCTAATACTTTCATTTTCTTATACCCACATACTGAGATAGACAATGGGGCATTTTGTGTTTTGCATTATAACCATTTCCAAGACTGTGGGGAGAATACATATAAAAGGAAAGGTAATGAGGTTCTTGTTGAAAGAACGCTCCTGGATAGAGGGTCCTGCATGTATTTGGTACTAAAACAAAATTCAGTTCTCTGAACATCCAGAAATGGGTCCTTGTTCTTTTTTTTTTAATTCATTTTGCATACCAACACAGATCCCCCTCTCATGCTTCCTCTTGCTCCCCTCACCTTCTCCTCCCACCCCGTATCCCCTCCTCCAAAAGGGTAAGTCCTCCCATGGGGAGACAGCAAAGCCTTGTATATTCAACTGAGGCAGGATCAAGCCCCCCTCCCCCTGCCCGCATCAATGGTGAGCAAGGAGTCCTACCATAGGTAATAGGATCCAGAAAGTCAGCTCATGCACCAGGGATAGATCCTGACCCCATTGCCAGGAGCCCCTCTAAGAGACCCACTATACAACAACGGTCTCCTGTATGCAGAGGGTCTAGTCCTGTCCCATGCAGGTTCCATAGTTGTCAATCTTCTTATTGTCCAACATGTACAGTCTTTTTGTTTTAGGTGTGTTTTTGCATATGTTTATTTCATCCTGTGAGTTGTTGAATGTCTTTTTAGTTGGTTTCTTAAATACTTGAATTTGATCAAAGTAGACCTTCAATAGGATTGTCAACTGATAATTAATTAAGATTAAATCCAATACTCCAAAGGTCTTGTCTGCAGTCTAACTTTTAATTTTCAAACAATCACAAGTCACTATGGCATTGCTCTGTGTGATGTGTTCCATTTACTTAGAAATTTTCCTTCACTTTCTTTCTGCCTACCTCAAATTCACCCATTTGCCAAGATCCAAATCTAATGTAACAGCCTTACTGAGGTTTCCCCCAATGGTGCTATGGAACTTGTCTGACTCTCTACTGCCACAGTAGAATTAGTTTCTGTTAAAGTAATGATCACACTGTCTTCTTTTGTCCTATGGAACCCAACAGTAAGTTACTAAAGCCCTTAGTGCATAAATTTCCATCTTCTCCATCTTTCATAAGCAGGAGTTCATTGTTCCACAATATAGAAGCAAGTTTAATTAATTTCTAAATGTCAGAGCTATGAAATAGATGTGGAGGATTTACAGCACAGCAGCACTGTTTAGTATATATTTACTTTTGTACACTGGCAATCATTGTTCACTGAGTAGCTAATTACTATTTCTGGAGGAAATAGTAAGTATGAATGAACCTCATTTCCATTATTAAAACAAACAGAGCAATAGGTAGCAAAAGTGTCCAGTAAACAACCTGTGGAAATTGTGTTGCATTGCAGCAACAGAGGGAATTATAATAGCTAAATCTATTGAAGTCATAAGACATCAGCTTCCTCAAAACAGAGTCAGCATATCTAGTCTTTAGATAAAAATGTCAAACTGCAACACGTCATTCTTTGCCTACAAAAAGTCATCTTTAATTATATAATTCTCTTTATCTTGGGTGCCTGATGTTGCTGTTTAGACTTCAAGACCCAGTTTGTTTGTTTGTTTGTTGCTTTTGCTTCTTCCATCTTTTGCTCCTCATTTTACACCCAAATTATAATTTTCATTGACCTGTGGATTTTTCAAGTGAAGGGATTCTATCTATTACAAATGTCTTTCTTTCTATCAGTTGGTACAGTGACCCACAAAGGACTATTGTTAACTTTGATTTGTATAGAATGCCAATTAGAAACTGGGAAAAACTTAGACCAATCAGAACATATTCCAATTCATGTAAAACTACTAAAGTAAAAAATAAAATGTGGAAATGTTTTAGAAATGAGCTGGACAGTCAAAAGACATAGCAAGTATAAAAAGCAGTCATGTATCGAGCTCAAGATATGAAACACAAATTTTGGCAGACTCTTCCCATTGACCACAGGCATCCAGCTCTTCTCTCTCCCTCCACACCCTGAGTAATGGCTATCATATCTGGTTAACATCCCCGTGTGTCTTTGATATGCTCAGGATGTATTTTCACAGAGCCTAAAGATTAAAGTCTGTGTCTCCATGCTTTCTCACCAGCATTATATTTGTTAGGGTTATAAATGATGATATCTATGGCCCTAGTTCACTCAAACAGATATGTAATATTCCACTTTTTTAGTATATTGTTCCTTTTTGGTCTGTTTTTCAAAATTTGCAGTGTTATTTTCAATATTCTTTTATTTTTCCTTACAAGAATATATACCTTGACAATAGATCTAAATTTCTTAAGTTTAATATTATTGAATTTATTAATTTCTCCTTTATAGTTTTTACTTTTTAAGATGGTGTTCCCTATTCTAAGTGAATGTATTTGATTACTAAAATCTAAAATATTTCCCTGTAAGTTTATTTGTCTGGTTTATTTTTTGTGCATGATATGTCATAACAAAAATATTTTGATATAATAATCAGCCCCAATAGTATTTACTGAACATATTTTCTTTTTTCTCATTAATAACAGAGAACTATGACCATTATTGGATATTTTTCAAATTATTTATTGGTTTTCTTCCTCAATAAATTATTCTATTCATCTGATTTTGTCTCAATACAAGTATTACTATATTATATTGATTATTAGCTTTGTGAGTCTTGAGATCTAATAGAAAAAAATCTTCCAAACTGATGTTTATGCTTTAGAGATGTCTGGGCAGGGACAGTGGGACTTTTCAACTGGTTAAAGTGCTGTCATCAAGCCTGTGGTCCTGCATTTGACCACTGGGACTTACATAGTGGAAAGAGAAAATCAACTCTTTAATGTTGTCCTTTGACTTCCACACACATACCATGGCACATGTACCACACAAATAAATAAATAGCTTTAGCACATCTTCAGTTGGCTTTTATCTATGGTTACCAATTCAAAGACTATTTTTTAAATAATACAGTCTGAGGCTTTTGGTGGTATGTAAAAACTACAACGGATTTTTTTTAAAAAAGCATTTTATTATTGATTGTATATGTGTGTTTTTAGGCAGCTATGTGCACATGAGAGGCCTGCAGAAACAAGAGGTGTTAGATCCCTCTGCAACTTAAGTAACAGACAGTTGTGAGCCACCTGACATGGGTGTTGGATACTCAATGCAGTTCCTCTACAAGGGCTGTACTGATTCTTAACTGCAGAGCCATCCTTCTAGCCCCATGTAATTGGGTTTTTGTATATTGAACATATATCTAGCAACCTTTGGATAGCACGTCAAGTAGTAAATGAGCAAAGGAGATTCAATTCTGGTGAAGTTGACTCTCTCACTACAGATAAAATGCACTTAACAAAACACATTTTGATAAATCTTGGGCTCAGAGGTCTCTAAGGATCCTGCTGTGATCATATAATAAATAACAAAATAGAAATAAAAAAACAACAAAAATGCCCAAGCACACACAAACTGATGATTTTGATTACAGCATTATTGGGAAAGGAAGCATTACAGCAGTGGGAAATCAGATGAAGTACTGTTTGAAAGGCAAGATGCCAACTTCAATTTCAAGTTTATGTGAGGAGATAATTCAACATTTTCTCAGGAATCCAACAACCCAGAAATTTCCTGTAATAGTTTTTATACACACACATCAAGAGATACACATGAACATGGATAGCAGAATTATTAATTTGAGTGCAACATGGGGAAGAATAAAAATTTCCCATCAAGATAGCATATTCACCCAACTGTTAAACAACAGTAAAGGAGTACATGATAGCCATAACAAGAGGAGTCTGCACCAAAAGGATAATGTTAAGAAGGCAAATAAAGAAGATAGCATGTAATATTTGGTCACTATTATAGAGTCTACTGAACTGATATCTGAATGACCTTGTTCTAAGCATCCAGTATTTACAATACATCTTCATATTTTAAAAAAGAGAAATGGGATACTAGAAATGTTTAAATAATTGTTCTTTCAGAAATGAATCCCAAGGATATGTATGACAGGAGAGGAAGCGGTAACATGTGACCCACTGGAAATGCCTTAATCCCCAAGGTAAATACTGAGCTTATTAATCTAACTACATCTTAATGCTTTATTGATAAAATTTGAATAGAATGTAAGTCATGTATATCAAATATATAAAGTTTTAATATTCAAAATTGTCATAGTGTTATTATATAATAATACATTAAATGAAAAAATTTTTAAATGTCCACTCATTTAGCAAATATTAAGTAAATATTGTTGATGCTAGAAACTATTAAACATACCATGAATTAAGCTGTACCAAGCACCAGTGTTAAACAAGAGAAAAATGTCCCTGTATTCATAGAGTGTGCAATCACTCTATCATCTTCAATTGAGCTAACTTATGAAACAAAAATTGCAAGATGTACACAGTTACAGAGTTATCTAAAAGTGAAACAAAAATGAGTCAATGCTTTCTACTTTAAACCATAGGTATTTAAAAATTGTGGGCAATTTGGACCAAAGAATGATAGTAAGCAAGGCAATGATACATGATACCACAGTAAGCAAAATAACCACAAAGGAAGACCATGAGAGACAGAGTAAGAAAGATAAGGAGTGTGCGGAAAAACTAGAAAATACAATAAAAATGGCTGGTAAGATTTTACCTAAAGCAAATTATCTTAAATGGCAACAGTCATCTTGAAGAGTCATATCCCTCCAACATTTTCATCTTAGTCTACTTTTCCATGAAAAAAAAACTACAGCTTTAGAAAGAACCAAAGGGTTTTATTTGAGAGATTTGTTAGCCGATTATCAGTTTGAGTGTTTGAAGATGTTATTTTCTACTTATTTTTTTTACCATATATGAAAATCAGTTGACTTTTCCCATCAATACTCAATGTTTATCCATCAAAGATTTGAAATAATTGTTCTTCCAATTTCAGTGCAGGCAGATATGGCTCAACATGGTTACAAACATCATGCTTCTGTCAATTCCTCAGGAATACTATGTCAGCCCCCAGCAGCCAACACTTGTTAGTGTTCACTGTGTACTACCTCACAGTAGAGAATGTGGCATCACTGTGATCAAGGTGTTAATGAGTAAGGACTCAGCTAATAACTGTGGAGAACTTGCTGACCAGGCAGAAAAAAAAATGACAAAAGCAGCCACAAAACGGGTTCCTCCTAACTTATATACAAATCAATGTTTTTCCATAGCAAGGCTGTCCAGGTACATAAACAGGGATATGGGGAGTAAAGAAATCATGCCTAGCACAAAACTTTCAAATGATTCTTACACCATCAATGTAAAAACTTAAAAACAGTATATATTCCCTTCTATAATATTGCTAAACTTCAACTCAGCTATGCTTTAAAATCTGAAATAATAAGAATTACACTGTTTAGGTATGAATTTGAATATCTTACAAAATAACTGATCTTAGATAATCTGGAACTAAGGGATCATGAACAAGAAAGAACATAGTTTTTATTCATATAATTGGTAAAGTATGTTTATAAAAGAACAGTATTAAACTACATAAAAGAAGGCTCTCATTTGATGAAACATTTCCAGACTATAATAACTGAGGATGAGTGGTTGCTCAGTGGGTAAAGCATTAGCCCCCTAGAATGAAGACCAGAGTTCAGGTGCCCAGAAAGAACCAACTTAGAAGTCGTATCAGTGGACTGGTCAATCTGCAATTCCAGTGCTGGGAAGCGGATGAAGGGGATCCCTGAGCCAGGTAGCTAGCTTGAGCTGCAGCATGGCAAACTCTGAATTCAGTGAGAGACCCTGCATTGGTACATGAGGTGGAGAGGGACAGAGCATGGCACCGGTGTCACCCTTGGGCCTACACACACACACACACACACACACACACACACACACACACACACACACACACACACAAGTGCACATGAATCATCTACAATGTGTACCTATAGTGCCATACACTATACATAACCCCCAAAGAAGCTGAGGCACAAACAACAGCAGAGTCAGCTATCCACTGTGTTAATTAGTTCAGAGTCAGATGGTTTAAAAGATAAAGGGAACACAAAAGGAGTTCAACACCAGAATCAAACAAACAAACAAAATGCTGAATTTTCGCCATGATGGCTGGCGAGCAAACACCAGTAAGTGTATCCAATGTGGTCAGCCATGTCATTGGGGCAATTTCATCTGGAAAAGACCACTAAGATTGTCAGCATCCTCTCTTCTGGACACTTCTCACATAATCAGACAATACATAAATTATAAAATATTTGACCATGATGCCTTGCTTATTATAATGAGGTCAGAACTGATTAACTTGAACAAAACAGAGAAACTGTATATAAAGCCTACATGCACACAAGATTTTCCCGTGAATTCTTCAATGAAAAGAAAAGACATGGGTCAAAGGCCCAAAAAGCACCTTTCTGAGGAAAAACATTGAAAACATAAAGATATGGTAAAGTTATCTGAAAGTAATCTATCTTCTGTAAAATAAAACCTGCTTCAGACACTAAGAAATACCATCTCCCCCATATGTTAATATAGTCTTTGAATATAAAATCCAAATTAAAAACTAATTCTTAATAGAAAGCTTTTGTGAAAAGGCAACATTGTGAAATGCTGTCAGTAACTATCATAAATATTTGAGAAGTTAATATTTTAATCTTCAACTATAGCACAGAAAACACTTTTGGTGACAGACAGTGCTTCATTAATGGAGTTCTGTGTGTCTAATTGCTTTGGGCACAGTGAGCTGCATTATTTTGACACATGACACACAATTAGTATGTGGTCACGCGGCTAACGGGAGATTTTACACCTTCCCCCTTCTACGTTCAGAGTGAATAATTAGCATATTTTTTCTGCCTAGAATAATAATCAGAGCCTCAGATCCAGAAGTTGCCTAATGAGCTAAGATTCCAGTTGTTGACATTAATACATCTGACACATTTTTTCAGTTGTTAAAGTAAACCGTGTGCTATCACTTCATTTACCCTTTCCCAAGTTGCTCAGGAACCAGGGTTATGTTGCTCTCAGCACAGTGATTGAGAAGAAAGACCCCAATGAACATTTTACATCATTACTTCACTGCTTTGCACATGAAGGCATGAAGAAAATATCTCTGACAAATTGTAGGAGAGTAACTTTTGATATCTTTTGCCATGGCATCCGAGCATCAGCATTCTAAGCAGAAATAGTCTATGTCACTCAGGTGACGTCTTAGAATTAAAAAGTGGAGCACAATGTAAGTTTCAAACAGTTCTTTTCATCAAAACCACCATAAATGTGCCAATAGTAAGCATTAATGAAAAAGTCATCCAGCATCTACAGAACAGAGGCATGAAGTGACTCAGCCTGCTTATTAGTTAGTCAATATGATTCAAGCATTTAAGCATTTACACATTAACTCAACTGATCAAGCACTAACCTGTATCATGAGGTGTGATCTGAATCCTCTGTAAACAAGGACTAAGAGAAGAGAGAGTGTCATTGACAGGACAGGACAAAGACTCAAAAAGGCAACCATCAGGTATAGTTTTCTTTTCATAGTAAGCTTGTGTATGCTCAAATGCTTTCTAGATGAACCCAAGGAAGCTGTGGAGAATCACAGCATGAACTTCAGTGAATGGACATTAGTTCTAAGAGTTCTGAGCAATCAAGAGAAATAATAATTTTAAGCATTAACTGATAGTGTATAAAGTTTGTAATGCCATAATTTTATTATTATGGTCTCTAGGAAATATCTTACATGCTGAAGAGTTTATGAATATTTGATACATCCATGTATGAAACTTTCACAATAAAACCCATTAATTTATTAGAGTTAATATGCGCCAATTAAGAAAACATCAAGCCAAAATCACATCACATAATCTGTAAACTATAATAACAATATCATATTATGTGTGAAGTATGGAAAAATGCCTCTATTATATCTTGCCAAGTGCAAAGTTAAACTAATGATATGGTAGTTTAAACAACCTATCAATTCACAAAGCAGACTAGCCAGTATTTGACTTTGTATCTGTGTAACATCTTGGCTTTCTGACTTCTTTGCTATCAAAAATGAAAATATCATTATGTCACAAGGAAGAAGATGACGAAAAGGATGGCCAGTATGGGGAATCTACTCAAGAAAGTATTTGTACTAACAACAAATAAAGTAAGTTTCAAAGATAGCTAACATAGTATGATCTAGAAAAAGTAAACAGGAGTGAAATCTACACAGCCAGCATTAGAAGCCCATTGTTATGAGTCATAACAGTAATAGAAATAATCACCATTAACTGAACATATTTTCATCACATTATCTATCTGTAATATTTGTGACACTGTGCTGGCTGAATATCATTTCTTCACTATATAGTAAATAAACTGTGCTGATTTGCCATTTTGGCTTAGCTAAGGTATAAATAGAATTGCCAGAATTGCCTTTCATTTATGGATCCAGATGAACCATGGCTAAGGGGAAGTATTGTTGTGTGTGCATCTATTTAATTCAAATAAGTTCATATTATAGGCTAACAAATGAGTCTACTCAAATATAGTTTGGTCAACCAATGAGTTTATTGAGCTTACATACATGGGTATGGGTGAGAAGCAACTGATAGGAGCATGGATGACTGAAAGGCAGATACATCACCAAAACTTCTACTGGGGAATGGGTATCAAATCACAAAAACTGTACCCTGGGAGTTTCTACATGATTTCCAGGCAACTTGGCTACCTGGGGAAATCTCTTTTTTAAGTAACTATTTACTGATTTTATAAACATGAGATGGAGAACTTATGAATCCTGTAAATTTTAGGAACTGTGTATACTTTGTAAGTTTCTCCTGCTTCATGAGATTTATGTCTTTTTCTTCCCTCCAGGAGTGAACGCTTCTATTTAAAGGAAGTATCTCCACAATTTGACTCTTTTCTCTAATTATTATAATTTTTTCAACTTGAGTCTTGGAGAGGATGGGATACCTCATTATTTTATCTCATGTCTGTCTGGGCATTGACAATTATACCACAGCTACAGTCATTTGTTCTCAACAGGTTTACTTATTATGAATCTTGTAGTAACCACTGACTGCTATGAAAAATCAGATTTTTTTCAACCACCAGTATTGATAACAGAAAATAGTGGTAGTAAACATCAACATTTGGAAGATAAATTGGCAAGTATATCACATGTCCATCAAAAATAAGTAAATCTCCCTCACTCAGTTCTATGATCTCAGTCATAGAATATTGTCCAATAGTACCAGTCATGGTCAAAGTGTCATAGAGCTTAGACTTAATCATCAGAAAGCAATTGGTTATACCTATAGCAATCCTAACACTAATGTATCAATGGACACATCTTGCCTGACATGTTGTCAATACAGCGCAGAGGTCCCATACCCAGAGAACTTCAGGGAACCTTGTAGCACTACGAATGCCAACCAGCAAGGTGTTTTCAGCTCAATCCCAACATGATTTCTCCAGGTCCTGCAAGCAAAGCACACTGTATCTTCAGCAATAGGACTTTTCTATCTTGTTCCAGGATGCAACTAACAGAAGTAGACAAAGCTTTATGATTTGTGGTCCTCAGACACCTCTCTGACCAAAGTTTTATAGGGAGGTAGTTCACTTCTGACACTGACATTGGGATATTCATCTAACAACCTTATGGCTTCTGGAAGTGTCTTTTCCCATTTATCCAGGGGGCCTTCATATCAGTCATTTAACTGCTGTCATTATTGTCTTTTGATATGTTTTTATAAAACTGTAAGATACTCAAGAGGTCAGAATTATATTAAGAAACTTTTTTTAACCAATGGTTAACAGGATCTCTGAAAAACAAATGGCATCCATTCCAAGTCTCAGTTTATCTTGGGTAGAAATACCAAATAAGATTTATTAGCAATAGCCAAAAGAGCATGAAAATACCTTATCACTTGTATCAACTGTTTTGTCAAAACCACAATGTTAGAACCTGAGAGATGGCATGGTATGTAAAGGCATTTTCTCTCAGGCCTAACGACCTGAGTTTGAGCTTCAGGACCACACATGATGGAAAGAGAACTGACTCCTGCAAGATGTCAACTGCCCCTCCTCACCCTAACTCACACAAAAATAAATAACACATTGTTAAAGGTAATGTGAGCACAATGCCATTTATGGAAGACACCAGCTTTTCAGCTTGCAATAACCCACAGTCAGTTTCTATGAGTCATACTGTTCCCTTATCCTGGGGTGCTGTGGTTGCCTTGCCTTGGAACCACTGTACATCTTACCCTGATGGTTGCTGGGGATCCACCTTGCACTGCTTGGCCAGGCTTAGGCCCAAAGGAGAATACCCAAAGTGGAGTGCAATGCCTGGAGCACTGGGCTGGCATAGACCACCAGCTGCCATGATGGCTGGGGCCCAACTTCGGCTGCTAAATGACGTCCAGCTCCCACTGCATCTCTCCCTTTAACAGCACGGAGTCCTAGCCAAACACGTGCACTTTACAGTGAAGGCTCTGGTGCCGTTAGCTGCATCAAAGTTGGGTGCAGGGAAAGACAGAGGCAGGTCCCAGTTTGTGCCTGTCAGTTCTGTTCTGATTTCTCTCCTTGTGACAGCTTCCTTCTCTGCTAGAGATGTTCTCCCCGGCAACAACTCTCAACAACGTTAAGGCTTCTGGAGTAGCTCCCACAGTAATCCAGCCTGATGGCACACACTTGCTTCCCCCACGTCCAGAGCTTGAATTCTAGATGGAAAGTCAGACTCTCCAATTTCCAGTCTTATGATTAACCTACTTAAAACAGAATGTTTGTACACTGAATAAAGCAAACAAAACACAAACAAAAAGGATGATTTTATTAATAATTACATATCCCCACAAACACTACAAACAGGCATAAAATCATACATCTTAATTGGATAAAGATATCTATTTTAACTCACATTGAATTACTAGAGCTATTCTTAGGAAAGCTGAGATCCAAAGGAGAAACATCTTTAATTGCTGCCTTTAATTATTAGCATGTCGTCAGCACTAGCCAGTGCAAGTACAAATGGGTGATATAAATCTTGATAATGAAGAAAAAATAACTATTTATAAAATCTTATTGTATAATTAGAAAGTCTATAGGAATTAACTGAAAAAGTAATAGAATTCATTATTCTGATTTGATGGCAGAAAAATCCATTATCCTGTAACTGATAGAGAAGACTCTATATTTGTCTGACTGTGCAATGCTCTGGCTGATTCTGCAATGCTCTCCCAATTCTGGAATAATCTCAATAACATCTATCTAAGTGACTTATACACAATATTTTACATGGTGTATATTTTAAAATATATTAAATGATCTGACGATGTTCTCTATAATGAGAAAGGTAAATATCAAGTTTTATAATGATCAGCTTCTTTCCATACTAAATTAGACATTTACTATATCATCAATAAAAATAGTGGTGGTGCTCTTAAACTCAGAAACAGATCTAATTATTACTCAATAAAATTTAGAAGCAAAAGTTCCATAAAAGATAATTATGACAAATGACAATGTCAAATTACTAATTCTTCCCAGCATTAAAACAATCCAATAAATTACAATCCTTAAAACAGTATGGGGTGAAATACATAGAATTGCATATCTTTGCAGGTAAATGAAATAAAAATAACATATATTTAAGTCCTATAACATAAGAAATTTATAAAAGGAAAAAATGTACAGTAACAATTTTTTTTAAGTAACTATTAAGACAGGTCAAAGCGACAGCCTACAGAATGGGAAAAGATCTTCACCAACCCCACATCTGACAGAGGACTGATATCCAGAATTTATAAGGAACTCAAGAAATTAGACATCAAAACGACCAACAGTCCAATTGAGAAATGGGTTTTAGAACTAAACAGAGAATTCTCAACAGAGGAAACTCAAATGACTGAAAGACATT